CGGGGGGCCCCCCGTTGCTCCCTGCGCCCCGCCCCCACCGCCGCTCTGCGTTGCTCCCCTCTGACGTCACCCACGGCCCGCGCCGACATTCTTTCCGCTGCTACAATGTAACGAGAAAAGTCATCAGGCTCTTTAAGGTGGCACCGCCGCTTAAGGAAGTTCCCCAAGAATTCCCCGCTCTCCGAGCTGAACCGGGGCTGCCGCTACGGGCACCGCGCAGGGGATAACAACGAGAGGCCTCGCATCGCCTTTGTCTCCCATTAATCTCCTGGACAAGCCGGATGAGTTGTCGGCACAGTTCGCTCTTAGCTCGGGAAGCGCACCAGCATTTTCCCGCTGCCGCTAAAGAAAGGGAGGCAAGACGATCGACACTAATGTGGCCGTAGTCATCTGAGATCCCGACTCGGCAGCCAACCATTAAAAGTGCTTCTCTATAGCCCGTTTGCCAAATTCAAGGCGAACTCGTCCCCAGATTGCCATCAAAGCAATAGCCAAACTCAAGCGTCCCTTTCCGCCCTCTCCCACATCGGACTTCGCGCAGCCCCGAAGTCGAGAAACTCCAGCGAAAGGAAGTTGTTTATTTTAGGCGTCTCGCAAAGTCCGGGCGCATCACAACTGCGCCCGCCTCTTTCCTTTCCTTTCGCAGCGACAGGGTCTTAAAGGGACAAGAGAAACAACTTCTGCTTCCTCCCCCGCAGCCAGGAAGTCCGGGCAACATTCGCCCCTCCTCAACGTCCAATGGTTTCGTTTTACGAACACGTAGCTCAAATCGACTCTGACACACATTTCGCTCCTGCTAAACCCACGCCCTTCGTGCGCTAGTAGTTTTCGTTCTCTCAAGGCTACCTTAACACAAGACGCCTCCCTCCCACCTTAAAAGTTTTCACGTCAAGCACAGGAACCGAGGCTGAATAGGAAACAAGCAGGAAACTAACCTCATCTATGCAACTCATCTCCCGCCCCCCTCGCTCTCGCGGACACCTTCCTTTCACTAATGTCATCTACGATCTTGCCTTAAAAGGTCTCATTTAATATTTAAATCGCTTCGCATCAATCCGCCAATAAGAAAAAGTAGGCTACTGCTTGCTTGCGAAAGTCGCCCAGTTTTTTATATCTGTCAAAATCAGGAGCGAAGATCAAGCTTGACAAATTCCGCGCCTGATTAAAAGGCAGCAGCAGCAAAAGCAACAAAAATTTTATATATACATATCAATATAATGATATTGATATGTATATATAAAATTTATATATATCAATATATATATTCGCAAAAGCTTTAAAAATGACTATGAAGAATTAGTATCCACTTCTCACTGCCCCTCACTGCAAATGCATTTGCAGGAAGCTTTTTTTAATATGAAAATGAAATCTGGCAACACTTTCTTTGGTATAATTTGCCAAATGTATCACATTTTAAAAGTTTTGCTGTTTTTCTGGTCCAGACTAGACTGATGTTGTAAATACATTTCACTTTATACAGGATGGCAGTTTATTAAACTGGCAGATTTCACAACACCTGCACTCATTTTTTTAAACTGTATTTCATTCCAGTAGATTAAATGAAGTTGTTCGTTAAACAGCTTGCAAAAGAACTCAAGGCATATGAATATCCATCACTTGACTGATAGGTTATGAGAAATTAATTTCAACATCTTCTGTGGAGCTGTAAGAAAACCAAGGTGCCCCCCAAAGAACAAATTTTGATTGGCATTTCTACAACACTGCTGCTAGAACTGGAATGGCACTCAACTGTCTAATTATTATTTAACTGCAATACGGCAGTTAACTGCCACAAATATCAGGAATAAATACTGTACCAAAACACTGACAGAAAAAACAGAATCCATATAACAAGCTATTTCATGCAAATGTTCTAAAATGTATTTCTATGATCCAGTTGTTAATATCCAGTTACCTATCCGCTGCACGGGCTAATCCTGATTTCAGATTTACTCAAAAATAAGGTCTATTGAATCCAATGAAAGATGTCACTTAATCTCATGATTAGTTACTGAGAAACAAATAGCTTCAGTGGGGTTTAACTGTTAAACAAATATACAGGGAATATATTTTAAATGAACAAAAATCAAAATAGAATATTTTCATATATCTTCTTTTACAACAAAAATATGTATTTTCTAATAACACTGCTTTATCTGAACTAAAAAAATTGGCAAGACTGAAAAGATGACAAGTTGCCTCTTTTTTTTCCACCACCAATCAACAGGCTTTTAATCATACTCAAAGCAATCTTAAGAGAAAGTTGGAAGCACTGAAGTGTAATTGAATGGACTGACAATTTAAAAATAAAGTTTATGGAATAAAAAAATGGTGAAAGATTTATACAATCTGAAGAGAAACCCAAGCAAATACTACCTAAGTACTGTGAGACAGACATATAGGTTTTTTCCCCTAGATGTTTAAAATATGTTTAAAATACATCAAACTATCCTGAGACAAAGTAATGTTAATCATCTAAGATTCAATTTAAATAAATGAATGTCTTGAAATATATGGACCACTAGTTTATAACAGGCATAAATCTGAAGGATGAATTTTATATTATTCAAAGACTTTTAAGAAAGTTTGAGGACTATCCTAAGGGCCTATATGCAAAAATTGATATATTATACAACATAGATTATCCCAATGAGAAAGGTTTAATTCTAATTTATACATTATAACTAGTGCATAAAGGCAGCTTGAAATAGATTCCATGCAGTAAGCATACAGAGCAATTATTTCTCATGTGGCATTTGCATGAAATAGCTTGTTATATGGATTGCCTACACAACATTATAAATCTCCATGCACTATGACATGTTCAGAAATTCTAGCTAATTGACATAATCCACATGGCAAACAACTCTACACAATAAAGTCACTCTGTGATTAGCCACTGTCCAAAGCAGCATTCACATATTACAAAATGTAGAATGTAACATATTCATGCACATTGTAAGTTACAGTATTTTACCATTGGTATAGATTCAAATGTTTGGGCTTAAATTACTACATACATGAACTAAAAGTCCACTATCTTTTATACAGTTGCTCAGTAAGTTAAACCTATTAAGATGTCACTCAAATCTCATGGTGTACAGGCAATTGTGTAATGGCTTAAGTTTGACAAATATTGAATGCCAAGGTCCATTACCAAATTCTAAAGTCTTATGGGATACATTAGCACTTAGATGCCAGCTATAGTTAGCTAGCACTATTCTGCCAGCAAAGCAGCTGAACAGAATGAGAGGAGGAATAGGTATGAAAAAATAGAATAAAAAGCTATTCAAACATGCCCTTTCCACCAGGTACTACTGGGAAGAATTGGTCACATTATTTAAGTAAACAACATATCCTGCAAGGCTCTATTTCAACTGACTTTTAATCAGGTGTATTGAATTTAACCCCAAACCATAAATCACACTTTACAAATGTAACAGCTGGTTTCACACATCATGACGAAGAAATCATGGGTTAGAATATGTAAATCCAGCCATTCACTTTCAAAGCCAGAGATGCAGGTAGGCTCAAGAAACTTTT